TAAAGAGCTAGCAGGTCTCAGTGCTGTCATTGTTTTGTACTAGTGAGCACAGATTTGCCAGGATGGCTGAGTCAGTTTTGCAGAGGAAGGATGTATACCGGTAATTTTACTACCCATGCTGCTAAGTGCATGAAGAGGCAACTGATAGGCAATCCTATGAAAGGCTGCAATGCAAACAGGCCTATGCGAAAGATAAAAAATCCATTATGAGGATTTCTAATATTGATTTCTCTCCCCAGTTTGTCTCAAAAAGACAAAAAGCAAGCAAGCAAGCAAATATATAATATTATAATATAATATAATATAATATAATATAATATAATATAATATAATATAATATAATAATTCACTGCTATGATTTACAATCCCAGGGCATAGAAGCTGGGCAGACCTTCGGAATGTGGGAGCTGAGGGGACCAGCAAGCTGAGATCAGTGGCCGTGTTGTTTTTAATGTGCTGCCTGCGGTGAGCAAGGGTGTCAAAAAGCAAGGGACTGTAACCTTTTTCTCAAGGTTCAATGGGTTTTTTTGTGGGTGCCAACTACAAAAATGACCTTCTTCCAGTTTGCTTTGAAGTATGTTTCTTTTTCGGTTTCCATGTCGATGTCATTTGTGCTAGATAAATATCAGTGGAACACAGCGTTTACTTTGAGGCAACATTACCAAGCACTTAGCATTTTGTCAGCTGTAGACACTAGAAGCACTATTTAGAATCGCAGAATTGTAGAGTTGAGACCCAAAGGGTCATCCAGTTCAACTCCCTGCAGTGCAGGAGCCACAGCTAAAGAATCTCTGACAGGTGGCCCTCTAACCTCTTCTGGAGGCAAGGTACCACTGCAGAGTAATTTTCTATGGCAATTGCCACAGGAAAAGGTGGAGGAAGGGTGTGAGGCCAGGCCTTAAGGGAAGACTCCTGTGTGAGTAGTGGAAAAGGCTCACAACCAGAAAACCTGTGAGAAAAGAAGAGAAGGAAGCTCTGCCAGATGGGGGTTGGGATTTGGAGGAGGTACTCAAACGAAGTACAACCTTGTCCCTATTGCCTGTAAGGAAGCATCATTCTGCTTCATCCCAGGGCAAGGAGGAGCTGCACACAATCATTTATAGCCTGTGCAGGCAATAATTCTTGCATATGGTCCCCAGCTTTTTACACATGCATGGACCCTTGTAGGGGGTAGCAGCAGGGCCTCCAACATCATACCTCCAGCGGGTCCCATAAACCTTCTGTGTGGCCCTGCAAAGCTGGCCACAAGGAGGGCAGGCACCAAAAGCTGTCCTGGCCCAGGGCACTATTGATTATACGGTCAGCCCTGTAAGTAAGGTCTGAAGGAACGTGATGCGGCAGACTTGCTGGAGCTAAGCAGCTCCTGAGTTTTTTCAGTGCCCAGGTGGGCAACTGCTTGACAATCATATGTATCCCACCTTGAATTCCATGATGGAAGAAAGGTAAAGATGAAATGCTTGTATAACATACAAATTTCACTCCATGAGATATGGTGATTAGGTTTTGGCAGGTATATCTAGGTATTCCTGTGACATCAAGACAGACCTTCCATGTTCAGAAGTAGTCTACCTCTGAATACCAGATGTTCAGGACACATCAGCAGAGAGCTGTTAGCTTCCCAGAGACATCTTGCTGGGTGACCACTGGTGAAAGCAGGATACTCAGATTTCATCAAGGAGGGTATTTTATGTCTTCATATTTAAAGTTCAGAATATACTCAAGTCATGTTGTTTAGTCGTTTAGTCGTGTCTGACTCTTCATGACCCCATGGACCAGAGCACGCCAGGCACTCCTGTCTTCCACTGCCTCCCGCAGTTTGGTCAAACTCATGTTGGTAGCTTTGAGAACACTGTCCAACCATCTCGTCCTCTGTCGTCCCCTTCTCCTTGTGCCCTCCATCTTTCCCAACATCAGGGTCTTTTCCAGGGAGTCTTCTCTTCTCATGAGGTGGCCAAAGTATTGGAGCCTCAGCTTCAGGATCTGTCCTTCCAGTGAGCACTCAGGGCTGATTTCCTTAAGAATGGATACGTTTGATCTTCTTGCAGTCCATGGGACTCTCAAGAGTCTCCTCCAGCACCATAATTCAAAAGCATCAATTCTTCGGCGATCAGCCTTCTTGATGGTCCAGCTCTCACTTCCATACATCACTACTGGGAAAACCATGGCTTTAACTATACGGACCTTTGTTGGCAAGGTGATGTCTCTGCTTTTTAAGATGCTGTCTAGGTTTGCCATCGCCTTTCTCCCAAGGAGCAGGCGTCTTTTAATTTTGTGACTGCTGTCACCATCTGCAGTGATCATGGAACCCAAGAAAGTAAAATCTCTTACTGCCTCCATTTCTTCCCCTTCTATTTGCCAGGAGGTGATGGGCCCAGTGGCCATGATCTTCATTTTTTTGATGTTGAGCTTCAGACCATATTTTACGCTATCCTCTTTCACCCTCATTAAAAGGTTCTTTAATTCCTCCTCACTTTCTGCCATATATCGTATTTTTCGCCCTATAGGACGCACTTTTTCCCCTCCAAAAATGAAGGGGAAATGTGTGTGCATCCTATGGGGCGAATGCAGGCTTTCGTTGCACCGACCCTTCTCGCTCTCCAGGCTTCAGGAAGCTCTGCGCAACCCTAGGGAGCCCGGCGCGAAGTCGTGTCGGGCTCCCGATGGCTGCGCAGAGCTGTCTGCATTCTGAAGCCTGGGGCGCGCTGAAGAGCGCGCCCGGGCTTCGCACAGCTCTCCGCAAGCCTGGGGAGACCGGCGCGACTTCCCGCCGGGCTCCCTAGGCTTGCGGATAGCAGGCTGTTCTCGGGGCTGGGGTTGGGGGAAGCTCGGGCTTCCCCCGCGCCAGCCCCGCGCCTGGGGGGGGGAATAACATTTTTTTCTTTATTCCCCCCCCCCAAAAAAAACTAGGTGCATCCTATGGGGCGGTGCGCCCTATGGGGCGAAAAATACGGTACTTTCTGCCAAATACTCAAGTCATATTTAGCACTAATTAGTGTCAGAAGCTCTGCAGGTTATTTTGCATTTTTTAAGGGTGCTGTTGATTCAGAGGACTAACTTTTTTATTAAACAAACATTGCAGCATGTCAGAAGGTCATCCTGTGCCTGCATTGCAAAGGGTTATTTGTGTTATTCACACTGTCCTTTGGGATGTGTGGTTGTGCCTAAGAGGAATGTATGGTCTGTAAAACAGAAAGTATATTCAATGGGGAAAATACTTGTTAGCCCAAGGTTATATTATAAAGCTAATATAATTCACATAGCCCGCAGCAAGGAAATGCAAAATTCATACAAATTTGAACAGTTGCTGAATGATTTCATTCTGCTCTGAAAAACCCTCCATATGTCACATTTATGACTGATAAATCATGACGTAATATTATTGTTTAAATCAGGGTGGAAACAGTATTCACGCCTCTCTTCAAGACCATTGGCTATTCTTCTACAGTTCTCCATAACGTATTGTTGTGAAGAGGGATTTTCAACTCTGACAAATATGAAAGATCAGAAAAGAGAAAGGGTTATTTGTGTTGATGAGGAGATGAGAATTTGTTTGTCTCAAATTAGACGCAATGTAAATGAGATTGCCCAGAAAAAGCAAGCTCACACCTCTCTCTGAATTTGTATACATACTTAGGGTACATATGTAAGAGGCTTGTTTATAATTATATTTTGAGAATGATTCATGTTCTTCTGTAGCTGCATTGTTTTATACTTTTTGGATATCCCATGATCATATTATAAAGTAGTTGTGTTCTATGTTATAAATCATATACAGTAGTATACAGTACCTCACTTTCAATGGCAAAGATTCCTAGCTCAGTTACACATGTTTGTACAGTCTTCTACAGAAATATCTTCTCCACTTCATTGTCTTCTTGCCAGCTTGCATCACTAAAGAGTCAGAATTTCTCAGACATGCATAGGTGGTACACAGAAAGGTCTGCAGGCATTTGCATTGGCAAACTATAGGACCTTGTTGTCCAACGCATCTTTCAAGATAAAAGGGATAAAGCAGAGTAATAAAATGAGAGAACTACCCCAGCAGGTTCTTGCGATCATGTAAACATAAAAGAGAAATCATTATTCTGCTTGACATTTACACGGCATGTGACCTCAGCAACTTTGCAGCGTTTGCTGGGAGGGTAAACAGAACCCACTGCACCAGCCCAGCCCTTGCCACTGATGCCACTGGGCACATGTGCGCAGGGCGCAGAGGGTTCGTGCAGCCCCTGCTCCAGCCCAGACCTCACTGCTGGAACCAAGTGGGGCTGCACTGCGCCACCTGTCTGCCCTCACAGGGAGAAGCACAGCCAGCCATTGCAGCCTTTGACAGGTGAATTCCCTCAACAGCGGCCAGGAGGGCATTCAGTGAGGGGGTTGGGGACATGGTGGTGAGGCAGGGCATGGCAGGGATCCCTGTGGGGGGGGCGACTGGTTCGTGCCCCCTAATAATCTTTTTAAAAAAAATATTTTCCCCATTTTTCCATTTTAGAACATTCAACAACGAATATAAATCTACACAAATCAAATAATATTTTCTGTGACTTTCCTCCCTCCCCTTCTGCAGTTTCTTATTTTTGTCATATTTTTACTGCATATCCAAATTTATCATTTTTACAAATTTATCCTTTATAATTCCTTTAAATGTCTTCCTGTTCGTGTTTAGGTCAATCCTGCTAATGTTTTTAACGGTTTACAATTTGTTTTCATATATTCAATAAATTTTCCCCATTCTGTGACAAAAAGTTTATCATCCTGATCTCTGGTGCCCTCTAAATATAATGTGCCTGGGGCTATTTCCCCTCACCATGCCCCCCCCCCATTACGACCCAACGTGACCTGGAATTAATATAGGTTCCGAGTAAGGCCCAGTGAGCCTTGCCTCAGATTATGCTCTGGTTTTACACATTTAAAAAGAAAAAAAATGACATGTAGGGAGACCTTAACAGCATGAGTGCAATAAGACTGGGGAAATATGGACTAAGGACTCTAGGAGGGCAATGCTGGCCGCATTCTCCTCCTTGATGGCTCCACCAGGTCATATGCTAGGACAAGGAGCTGAAGTACTGGCTGTCTCAGGAAGGTGCCTCTTGTGCCCCTGGCTCAGCAAATGCCTTTCTCTAAACAATAAGCGGAAAGGGAACTGGTGGAAACCAGGAATGTCAAAATAAACATGGCCAGTCCAAGAGAACAGAAGGCTTGGGATGGTGAGGCAATACCCTAGTGAGAAAGTGGCTTCTTTGGATTTGCATTCTCGCTTCAAACAAATATATATTAGGGATAGCACACAGCTCACTGAGGCAAATCCCTGAGAGACAGGGCATTTACATGGTGTAACTTCAATCCCTTCTTGAGACGCACATTGTGGGTTTGGAGATCTGGGCGAAAGGTACACTCGTAAACCCCATCATTACGGCTCTACGCTTCTTATTCCCGTCTAGGAGAACTGCCAAGAAACCGCTGGTGGAACAGGGCCCCTTTGCACAGTAAGTGCCCTGTGGTTGGAAGGCTATCTCGCTCTTTTTGGAGCAACAACTCGTAAGGACAAGATGACAGAGCCAGGGGCTAATTTCTTTCTCGTTTTTCTTAAAGGTGTTGAGACTCAAGCGGCATCCACATTTAAGGCAGTATCATCTGCTGAGAGGTGCCGATGGGCTGCCAAGTGGTCCAGGAACTGATGTTGCAGTCTTGCACCTGCTCCCTCCCCCCAGAGCACATGGTGTGCATGGTAAGTGGGACAGATGTGAATGGCCTCTCTAGCTGCCTGTTGTCTAAGCCTCTGCCTGTGCCACCACCATAGCTCAGGACTGCTATAACAAAAAAAATGGGACACTCCTAAATTCAGATAAAGGGTTAGTATGACGAGCAGAATGCCGTAAGGAAAGTAGTAGGAAATGACAACAGAATAAAAGTCCATAGGTAAAGGTAAAGGTACCCCCTGACTGTTAGGACCAGTCACGGATGACTCTGTGGTTGCGCACTCATCTCACTCTATAGGCTGAGGGAGCCGGCGTTTGTCTGCAGACAGCTTCCAGGTCATGTGGCCAGCATGACTAAGCCGCTTCTGGCAAACCAGAACAGTGTATGGAAACACCATTTACCTTCCCGCTGGAGCAGTACCTATTTATCTACTTGCATTTTGATGTGCTTTCGAACTACTAGGTCGGCAGGAGCTGGGACTGAACAATGGGAGCTCACCCCGTCGCGGGGATTCGAACAGCCGACCTTCTGATCGGCAAGCCCTAGGCTCTGTGGTTTACAGTCCCATATATGGGGCAATTCAGTGCCGGATTTACGTATAAGCCAAACAAGCTATAGCTTAGGGTCCCACTCTCTTGGGGGGCCCCAAAAAAATTGAAGAAAAAAAACCTGGATGTACATTTCCAAAATATAAGATAAAAAACAAATAAAATAAAACCTACATACAGCAACAGTGTTTTGTGTTGTGTAGGCTCCTATGATGTAAGTAATGGGCCCCGCCTGCTAGCCTACTCCCTAAAATATCACTGGTTTGCTCATTTCTTAATTGTATTTCACTATTAATATACTTCTTCTTAATTGTATTTCAGTTCAACAATTACTTTGATAAAATACATATTTTGTTATGTGCAAATGGCTTTAGATACCTATTAGGTCCATAAATTACCATATAGCATATATTCAACACAAAAACAGCAACAATTTGTTGTTGACAAAGGACACCTGGACATTTAAATGGCCCCATTACCTTCAGTAGCTTAGGGCCTTGTCAAACCTAAATCCGGCCCGGGGCAATTGCAGATTGCAGGAATGTCTTTGACCTGCTGGGCTTGTGGGTCAGAGCAGTTGCTGCCCTGAGTCCTTTTCCAACGCTCTGACTAGCCACATGACTCATTAGTTAGTGGTAATGCAAGTCTTGTGTTCTAACTACTGATTACCTTTTTCCAACAGCTGTGGGTCATAGTACTGTTTTATGTACCGCAGATGTCTGTAAAAGGCAGCATCCTGACCGTACCATGGGATGGAATTGGTTTCTCTGGGGGCTTACTAAGAATGTGATTTCTATGAAAACAAAACCACGTGATTTATGGCTATTAGTCTCATTTCCTCTCTTTGACTTAACTTTGCCAGCTCTTTGGAGGGCTGCTATCCTGACCCAGGGGATTTCTCTGCCTGCTCATCAAGAGCCACGACACGCCCTTCAGCCTGCTCCTGCAAAGAATGAAAACTACCGCTGCTGCTCTGTGGGTATCAAATGCTCTCTAGGGATAGGCACAATGGGCATGAATGTACCCTGAAGGCTTTCTTGGTAACATTACAAGCCTCTAGCACAGTAATTGTGTGCTTTCTCTTGCTTACAGAGAGATTTTGCTTATAAATCTTGCCTGGTCTTGCCCAGGAATCGTGACCTAAACCCACTTACTTAGCTAATAGAACCTATTCCCAAAGATGCTTGTTTACAGATGTGCCTCCAGGAGGTGAATTAAAAACAGACAAACCCAAATGTACCGCAAACTTTGATTGTAGGTCTTTTCTTTCTTTCCAATGAGAAAATACAGGAATGTATTCGATGTAAACTTTAAATTGATTGACAGCCCAGTCTGTGGAGTCACTTCAACAGCTGTGGTGCAACGTGGGGTTGAAATGGCATCCTGTTCAATGCAAAGGAGAAAGGGCCCAAAGCTTTGTTTCACTTGCCTCACATTCCTTAAAAATCCCTTTTTCCTGTTAGAACTATAAACTGCACTGACCCCAGAGTTCACTGGGGTACTCCAACAGCCCTTCAGCCCCATGTAAGGATTATCAAACATCAGCTGCATATGCGCATGTAGGAATGGGGGAGAAATTCTATCCAACCCACATTTAAACTCAAATCTACCTCACTTTCTGAAACAGTACATGAACAGAAATACAGACATCCTTCAAAATTCACGCATCTCTGAATTTTTAATGCAGTTCTTCAGCCAAATCATGTGTAAAAATTGCATATACAAAGGGAAAGCAGGCACAAAAATCATATTTCTTTTTTAAAAAGAGCAATAAAAATGCATTATATTATAAAACATGTGTGTTACAAAAATGTGTTTATCAGGTGGAATGGCATACAATAATGTGCATGTGTGGAGAAATTTGCACTAAGATGCTAATGAAATTTCATGAGCACTTTAAACAAAAAAAACAAAAACAAAACAAAACACAAAAACACACACCCCACAAACTAATGTAGAAATGTGAACAACTGAATTCCAGACCAACAAAACCAAAATTGACAAGTTACCCATGTTACTTAAAACTGTTTCTTAGAAAGAAAATAGAATACAAAAGATACAAGTTGATACATGCTTGGCTGTGTACAAAGGTTTCCCTATGAACAGCTGCTTTTAAAAACATTTTTAGGCAAAACTATCGTTTAAACTTGGGGTTTGTAACGTGGCACCTGCAGACACCATGGCACATTCAGACAACCCCCCATGGTACCTGCCAAGACCCCATGTCCATTTTTTTTACAACGAATTTGAAGGGGGTGGCTGTTTAATTGCAGCTGTATGCCTGTTTTATTTTTGTTTGTGTTTTATTTGTCTTGGAGGGGGTGTCAGTTTTTTGCCTGTTGTTTGGTGGGGGGCAGAAGAGACTTCTGAGCATTGTCTGTTTTCCTTCTGTGAAATGGCAGCCATTATAGCTTCTAAGACTTCAAGATGTGCCCCTGCCCCACCAAAAAAAAAGGTTGGGGGTCCCCTGCTTTTGAAACAATTTCCATCCAGGTAGTATTGGCCATCAACAAAACAAACAGACAATATTTACCATTTTTGCAGAGCTGTTCTCAGTTCTTTCAGGCACACAGTTGACATACAGATAGCCATCTTCCCTATTCTTCCTCGCTGCTAGCAAACTCAGGTTGGCATTTCCTTCACCTTTGCCAGATCCCACCAAGAATCTCATTGCTTAGTCAATTCGGAGCTTCCCTTTGCTAACATTGGTAAGGTTATGCTTCAGAGGATCAAATCTGACTTCCAGAAAGAACAAACTTCAGTACTTGAAGTATTGTCATTAACATTTGCTCCCTGTACCACCTGAATATTCACGTTTCAGAGGGCTGTTTATCCCCTGCAAAGGTATGGGGATATTTGGTGACTTTGGCATGGTGGGTTGGCAAATTTTGAAAATTTTGTCTTATCTTTCAATTTTATTTAAAAGTTCTGTTTGATTAAATTTACACCCTGCAGCCTCCTCCAAAGGAGCCCAGGGTTGTACTACAATGTGGATATGTTGGGTTTCTCTTCTTTTCGCTCCCTCCTTCTTCAAAAGCCTTGCCACTGTTTTAAGTGGCATCTTGGCTGTTCTCATCACCCCAGGCACATTTTCAGCACCCCTCTCCCCTGGTATCTCATCATCCCACTTTTTTTTTTTTTAATAGAAAGTGGGCATCTCAATTCCTGCTCTCCTCAGAAAGTCAGAATGAACCCTGCACACACCTTAAAAATCCATCCAAGAAGTCTTTTCTTTTTGACATCGTGCATCTCCAGGCATCTGGGAGAGTAAAACTGGGGCTTTCCAGAGCACACAGACTGATTTCTTTTCCTCCCCCACTCTACCAAGTAATATATGCCCTCTCCCTTCTGTTTTGGAGGATGTATATGTTTTGATGTCTACTTTTGCCATGTGATCCCCCTGGCCTACATCATTAGCAGTTATCCAGCAACCAGCATGAGTCCGGTTTCCTTCCCGCCTCCTTTTAGCTTTAAAAAATCGAGTACACCATGTGCTGCCTTACCCCTGTATATCCCAGGTTAAGTGAGGGGTTTGGGATCACGATTTGAGTGAGCAAGTGTCTGCCGGATCTGTCTCCAGGGTGGGAGAGCACCATTTGCAATCCTGAAGTGGGGGCTCTCTTGAGATTAGGAGGAGCGATTAACTCTCCACCCACAGCTTCTCCAACTCAAATTCCCTCCTCCCAATGGATTAGAAACATCTCCAGAAAGTCCCTTTGCAGGCAATGCAAAGGCACTCCTCCCTCTGCTTGTAACTTCAAAAGCAGTCGTGAATTTTCTCGTAGCCAAAGCAAGCTAGAATGAAAGAGCTAAAACAAAACAAAAACAACAACAACAACAACTACCAGGAACAGCCACTACTGGGCTGGGCTGGGCTGGGCTGAGCTTCAAATGAACAGGAAGCGAACTGGGAGGATATAATGAATTAAATCTCTACCTGTGACATGGGTGGGGGAACTTTTACAACCCGACGGCCACATTCTGTTCTGGGCAGCCATCTAACGGCCACATGCCAGTGGTGGACAGAACAACAAAGGTAAAATTTTACCTTTGTACGGTAGGCTGCTTTCTACACACACCTCTCTCTACCCTCTGTCTAGGGTACTGTTAAGGGGTCCAGCCTGGGGAAAGCATTCAGGAAGGGTACCAGGCAGAGAGGCTTAGAGGGCCACATTTGGTGCCCAACCTCTGCTATAGCAGAACACTCCAATGGCACCCTTCCTACAAGCCATTCTGAGGGAGGGTGGGGAGATGGCTGCCTGCACTGGCCGTAATGGGACATTGTTTCCATGGAATTTTCTTTCCCAGACACAGGTCTGGGCTGCAAACCATGGACTGAAACAATGGCACCTAATGGCTTGTTTTTGTTGTTAAAAATAAAACACCCAGAGAGAATCCCTCGGGCACCATATTTAAAGGTAAGACAAGTGTTAAGTTGTGGGTGAACATATCAGACGACCCAGCAATTCTTCAAACAGCTCTTGTTTATTCACAGGCCAGGACAGAACTGAACTGAAGGGCTCAGTCAGCCTGCTTATATAGAGCTCCAGTATAGCGTAACTGTAACAACTTTCTAAAACTATCCAATCACTGAACGTCACTTTTGATCCCTTATTTGCATAACTATCTACAGTATCCCTCTGCTGGCCCAGGGTGAGAACTTCAATACATAACAACAAGCATTCTCAACACTCACCCTGTCCCAAACAAGAAGATTAATCAAATATCTGGAAGTTTTTTTCCTCCATGCTTCCTGAAATTTACAAATTTCAGGGGTCTGAACACTCATCCCCCCCCCCCCACTTTCTGGACACGGCCCAGGAGGAAGGAGCGGAACCACTGGATAACAGTGCTCCCAGCTCCTCTAGACGGTCCAGAAGTAGTCGATGGTATCAAAGGCCGCTGAGAGATCCAGCAGAATTAGGAAATGCAAAAGGCATTCTAGAGAAAGGAATCAGAAGAGTGTGAAGCAATAGCAGCTTGAGGCCTGTACTTTGCTTTCCAGAGGGCACCAAAGGTAATTTTATAAAATTTAAATATACAGAGGAGCCCATGCAGGAAGAGTAGGAGATGTCCAGGTACGTCATTGGAAACCACAGCCATAAATCAACTACCTTGGAGCTCTTCTGAGATTGATTGATTAGAAAAGGATGTCTCAAAGGACACACATTGAAAATTGAGCAATGGACTATTTCCAGAGAAAAGGGGTTCTCTTTGTATTGCACTTCCTCAGTTGCAGAATTACATTAATGCATTTGCCAGGAGACAGGTTCCTTCTTCCTTCTGTGAAATAATGACACTGGCATTAAATTGATGGATTATTGTTACACAGGTACTCCATGTTCTGGGATAATTAGATCCACTCAACAAGGTGACTTTCTGTTTCTAAAGATACGTCACCTGCTCTCAAAGCCCAGGCATACTGTTTGGGAATCACTAAGACTGAGCTCCATCTGGTACGTAGGCTGAGACCCTACCTGCCCGTGGACTGTCTCGCCAGAGTGGTGAATGCTCTAGTTATCTCTCACTTGGATTACTGCAATGTGCTCTATGTGGGGCTACCTTTGAAGGTGATCTGGAAACTACAACTAATCCAGAATGCGGCAGCTAGACTGGTGACTGGGTGCGGCCACCGAGACCACATAACACCGGTCTTGAAAGACCTACATTGGCTCCCAGTATGTTTCCGAGCACAATTCAAAGTGTTGGTGCTGACCTTTAAAGCCCTAAACGGCCTCAGTCCAGTATATCTGAAGGAGTGTCTCCACCCCCACTGTTCAGCCCGGACACTGAGGTCCAGCGCCGAGGGCCTTCTGGTGGTTCCCTCGCTGCGAGAAGCCAAGTTACAGGGAACCAGGCAGAGGGCCTTCTCGGTAGTGGCACCTGCTCTGTGGAATGCCCTCCCACCAGATGTCAAAGAGAAAAACAACTACCAGACTTTTAGAAGACATCTGAAGGCGGCCCTGTTTAGGGAAGCTTTTAATTTTTAACAGAGTATTGTATTTTAATATTTTGTTGGAAGCCACCCAGAGTGGCTGAGGAAACCCAGCCAGATGAGTGGGGTAGAAATAATAAATTATTATTATTATTATTATTATTATTATTATTATTAGCAAGCTACAATCCTTGTGCAAATGCAATGTTCATAATAGTGTGACACTGAATTCCACCCACTGTCCCTTTTCCACCCCAGAACTTTATGGTGCAACATTCTCTCCCTAGCTATAGCCACATCTATTTTGTTAACAAATGACTGACATGGAGTCACAGGCATCCATTTAGAGGGAACAAGTGGCAGAGGAAGCGACCACAAATCGCCTGCAATAAGGCACAGTTCTGATAACAATTTTGGCACCTCAGAGTCAGGGCTTATTATACATGCAAACATTGTCTAGATTTGTAGAGTAGATAGACTAATGAGCTTTTGTGACTTCATAGCTTAAGACAGACAGTTCTTACATTCCATTAATGTGTATTCATTGGTCCATGTCATATTAGGATATGGTCCAGATTTAAGTGTCCTCCAGCCACATGTGTTCTACAGGTCCCATCAGAAGTCACTTGCAGTGAGAGCTCTTAGTCAGAGTTCCCAAGACAGACAAGTTCGTCATTTCAGTATTTTTCTACATTTGTGAATCTGAACACATCTCTCTCTCCCCCCCCCTCCTTCCCTTTTCTTGCCATCACATCATCAACTCAGCTGATCATGAGTGGGAAAGGTTGATAGCAACTGAACCTGCATCCTCCCTGGTAACCATCACCAGAATACCCACAAAGTCCTCTCACACTGGAAAAGAAGACCACAGCAAACAACCCTTTTCCCTCTTAGCATGGTTGTAACAGACACGTTGCCACTTTAAATGAGAACACACCTAACAACCAATCACAGGGGTGTAGGCAGTGGGTGCCTGGTCACTGGCAGTGGTTTTGAGAACCGGATGAATGTTGTGCAGTGTGTGTGTGACTGGAAGGAGTGGGCTGCAGGGCGTGGGAGACTCAGAAATCGCACAACTGTTGCCAAGGCAGAGCTGAGAATCTTTTTGACCTTTACAGTACATGCCCTCTTGACCTCAATACTATGATTGTGTTGATCACTGGTGCTGAGCTCTGTGTGCCACTATTTCTTTATTAAGATTTATACCCTACTCTTCAAGAACACAGCATCATAGAATTGTAGAGCTGAAAGGGACCACCAGGGTCATCTTGTCCAACCCCCTGCAATACAGGATTTTTTTTGCCCAGTGTGGGGTTCAAACCCATGACCCTGAGATTAAGAATTTAATGTTCTACTAGCTGAGATAATCAGGGCAGCTTAATGTTTTTGGTTTTTTTTAAAAAAAACACTATAAAAGAATACATAAAAGAAGCTGAAATCGTAAGATCTATAAAATTATCATAAAATTAATATAGTACAGTGGTACCTCGGGTTAAGAACTTAATTCGTTCTGGAGGTCCGTTCTTAACCTGAAACTGTTCTTAACCTGAGGTACCACTTTAGCTAATGGGGCCTCCTGCTGCCGCCACGCGATTTCTGTTCTCATCCTGAAGCAAAGTTCTTAACCTGAGGTACAATTTCTGAGTTAGCGAAGTCTGTAACCTGAAGCGTCTGTAACCCGAGGTACCACTGTACAAGACATTGTCAAAGTTTGAATGCTGATGGGGGGAAGTTTCTGCTCTTTCAGATTGTGTGCCAAATTATTTTCTTATCATCATCATCATCTCCTCACCCTTCCTCCCAAAGGAGACCAGGGGTGGCATACACAGCATTGATAAAGCATTTCAAACCCCACTGTCCAGCCTTTTTACCCCCTTTCATGTTTCACTTCACTTTCCTTTTTCAACTGTGAGCCTAGGGGCAGGCAATTGTCCTTTAAAATGCATGGTGGAAGGCCTGGTAATTTTCCAAAGCCTTATAAATTAAATGGAATGGCAATTATGAGAATACAGTAGTACCTCTAGTTAATGGGGCCTCTTGCTACTGCTGCGCCGCCGGCACACGATTTCCGTTCTCATCCTGGGGCAAAGTTCTCAACTCAAGGTAACTCTTTCAGGTTAGCGGAGTTTGTAACCTGAAGCGTTTGTAACCTGAGGCGTTTGTAACCCGAGGTACCACTGTAACCAAGAAGATGAAAACCCCTATGAACAGCTTATGGATCTAGGAACATAGGAAGCTGCCTTATACCGAGGGCAGACCATTGTTCAATAGAGCTCAGTACTGTTAGCACAGAGTGGCAGCAGATTTCACACAGGGTTCTCTCCTGGCACTACCTAGAGATGCCAGGGATCTTCTGCATCTGAGATCTTCTGCATGGAAAGCAGGTGCTCTACCACTAAGACGTGGCCCTTTCTGAGAATCTTGGAATATTACTTAAAGCTTCTGAGTTCAGCAGTACTGGCCCTTTAAGAGTGCAGAAAGGAGAGGGCTGCATTGAGCTTTTGTAGATCAATTTGGAGTGTTCAGGCAGCAGAGTAATTTGAATGATTGAATCCAGGCGCTCAAAGTGGGAGGGTGGGAAGAAGCATAAGAATTCTATGTAAATTCCAACACCTGCCCCATATGCTATCTTTCAGGGCCCACACCTTTCAGTGCCTCTTCAATTGTTGTGGTTATGATTTGCGGGCGGGGCGGGGGGAGTCCAAATCTTTAAATGTGCTGGATGGTTTAAAAAATATTAAACTTAAATTACTGTTTAAAAAGGAAAGTAAATAAAAAGCATGCAAAGCTTTCTGATTCAAAGGAGAGTTATTTAGATTGACAACATGATAACACTTGCAACATACAAACGGATTGCCTATAGATGCAGACTTCAGACAAACATATTCATCTCTGGAACGAGTTTATACAAAATGTAGTAGGTTATTAGCAACCATATCTATATGAGGATAATAGTATCACATATCTATACAATAATCCATAGAAAGGAAATTGATTTTATTTACTGTATTACACTGTACTTTTCACGTGGTTTTACTTTTTTCTTCTCTTCTCTTTTTCACATTTCCTTTTCCTTTAAATTTTTCTTTTATCACATTATTCCTTCATAAAAGAAAACTTTTCAATAAAATAACAATAAAAAATAAAAGACCTGTAAAGATTTTTTTGATGGAAATGAGAGTTATTTAGATCACCATTGTTACGACATGATATGAAAACTCTGCTTTGATTTTAAAAGCTGCAGATATCCCTGCTGTGACTTCACACACACACACACACACACACACACACACACACACACCATCTTTCCTTGTTCTATGTTCAGGCTGCAGAGCTACAAGTTCATAGGGGTTGATACAGAAGACATTAACAATGCAATCTTAACCAATTTCCCTCAGAAGTAAGTTCCATTGAAATTGATGGGGCCAGGAGAGATGCGTGGCTCAGGCGTGCCGCAGGGCCTGTGGTGAGTGCAATCTGGCATTTTGTTACCTTCCTCAGTGGTGACACACGGGGTGGCCTACATCCACCACACACCCCTTCCTCTGCCCCTGGATGGATTTTACTCCCAGGTAAGTAGAGGAGGACTGCAGTCTAAGGGCGTACCATTTAAGTCACACCATTTTTCTCTTCCCTGACTTTATACTGTAGGTGACAATGGTGTACTAGAAACCAGCAACTTAAATGCTGTTTCAGTGGTCATTTTGCCTCTCTACCCATGTTCAGGTGGACTGGCAACTTTTTTTAAAGTGCTATATTCATTTATCTATTTTTGCAAAACTTTGTTTTTAAAAGCATGATCATTTGTTAAAAATTATTGTGAAAGCACTTCAAAGATTACTGGGAGGTGGGTTCATCACAGCCACAAACCAGTCAGACAACTAGCTTTTGCAGCAAATTGGTTCAAAGGGATCTTTCCCCCTGAGTTCAACTCCATTTTATTAAAGCAGAATTCAATCAGTCAAATAACATTACCTACAGGACTGCAATCCTATACCTCAGAATAAGCCCCATTGAATTCAGTTGGGCTACTTTTTTCTTTCTTTCCCTTTGTAAATATGTATTCTTATTTTGTCTTTCCAAAATATAGTGGGACTTCCTTCTGAGTAAACACATTGGATTGCACTAAGTTTCTTTTTGTTATCACAGCAAATAGATTTTGAGCCAAATTGGAATTTCATGTTTATTTATTATCATTTAAATATTACACTGCTTGATTGTATTTAGCCTCAAAGTGGGTTGCAAAAGATAAAACAGTAAAATCCAGAAAAAAGATTACAACTCTACCATAAACCCTTATATCCACGCTTCCACATTCTGGGAAAATCCAAAAGCGTATTATGATGAAGTTTTAAACATCACATTCATTTAACATGCAAACATGTTAGTGTCATAACAGCAGTAATAATTATCAGTGTAGTTTCCCCTTCATTCTGCATGCATTTTATTTTCTCTAGCAGCCTAAGCTCAAATTTTGTTGGGCCTTGAAACAGTGGTTCTTCCATGAGATTCCTCATTGTCTCCCTATATTCTGTAAAATTTTCACACGTATGGAAACACGAAACGCAGAACAACCCCCACCCACACACCATCATGCATGCATTCCATTCACTCTTGTAAGCAGCACATTCATTGCAAAAGCACACTCATGCACCACACCAGAATCTCCAAGACTCAAACCGGATTTTGTGTAGGAGTTTTGCCAATGTCAAAAATGAAAAGAAAAATTGTGACAACCCTATTATAGTGCATAAGTGTTGTGGTGTCGTCAGCATTAAAACGGAGAAGCCAGATTTCATCTCATCTTGCCATCACTGCTCTTCATTAGCGGGCCTTATTTGCTTCTGCTTTATAGAAAAGGATGCTGTAAGGAACTGACAATTGTCTATTTGGCTACAAGGAAAGTACGTGTAGGGTAAATGTAAAGGACCCCAGGACGGTTAAGTCCAGTCAAAGGCGACTATAGGGTTGCAGCGCTCATCTTGCTTTCAGGCCGAGGGAGCCGGCGTTTGTCCACAGACAGCTTTCCAGGTCATGTGGCCAGCATGACTAAACTGCTTCTGGTGCAACGGAACACTGTGACGGAAACCAGAGAGCATGGAAACACCATTTGCCTTCCCACCACAGTGTTACCTACTGATCTACATGCACTGGCATGCTTTTGAGCTGCTAGGTTGGCAGGAACTGGGACAGAGGAACAGGAGCTCACCCCATTGCATGGATTCGAACCACTGACCTTCTGATCAGCAAACCCAAGACGCTCAGTGGTTTAGACCACAGCGCCACCCACATCCTGAAAGTATGTAGAAGTACAAGGTAAATATAGAGGCATAAGATGATCTCAGCTGGTGAGAAGTGGACCACAAGAAGCTTACTTATCATTTTGATTTTGGCAAATGTAGTTGAAATTGACATTGCTACAAAAGATTCATAATACACCTCCATCTCATTCTTCCAATATTTACTATACAGGAAATGATTGGGTGTAGAATAGACAGGTGCAACAGGTGGAGGAGGTTAGTGATATATCGACCTGCACATTGGACCTCCATCAAATTAGCTGATGTTTAGCTACTCTTTGTAAACGTATTAATATGACTGCTGTTTTCTAAATCTGTTGTTCAAGACAACTTTTGTTCCATTTTGTTTTAAACAGATATGAAATCTCTTATTTATGCATAATAAATACAGACCCTAAATAACCACCCTACACCCTGTGGGAATCTTCTGCACAGTGAATCTCTTGAACACATAGAGAATTTCACTATAAATGGATGCAGCATATCTGCTGGAAATTCCCAGTATTGTTTCCTTCCTGCAGCTGGAATTTTAATATGGGGACCAGCCACCACATGTCATTGTTTCCACAACACTAACCAAATGGCAGGTGCCCATCTTGACCCATTTCCTGACTTTTGGTTTTGAAGTGCTTGCATTTCATAGCATGTGACATATGACCGCCCTGCAGTTTCTCAGCTGGAAATAGAACCCCGTTTTAATGTTTAACAGCACAAGCTGCCCTCTTTGTCTCCATTCTGCCTTCAAGGGCTATAGAAGTGCCTGTAGTGTTTCTGGTTTAGAAGATGGGCAAGGGCAGCTTGGATGGCACAGCAGCTGGTAGTTGGTGGCAGAGGAGCTCAGGAACATGGGGCGGGCCCCAAATGACACTCCCCAAATGAACACCTGTGCTTTTTAAAAATGACAAAAGTGATGTGTGTGAGAGAGAGATGATTGTGTTATGCCAGAGATAAAATAACAATTAACACTGGCATGCAAAAACCCCCAAAAATATCAGAAAAGACAAAACCATTACTCAAAGACATGTGCATTTAATCCAGCATGGCCCAAGGTGTTACTTTGCCAAGACTTGCTATTAACCCTTCTCTGTGCGCTAGGCCACTATTATCCTCATTTTACAGGTGAGGTTGCAGGAGCGAGGCCTTAACTAAACGGTGATCGGACTGCAGCCTCCGGCTCAACCTGGGAGCAAGCCCCATTGAACTCAATGGGATTTACTTCGGAGCGGACATGCCTTGGATTGCGTGGGGAAAGTCTCTAGTGCAGCAATTCGGGATACGCGGATGGGGCTTGGCAACTTGTTGTTGCCACGAGAGAGATGTCGTCTTTGCCAGACTCGGGACGTCTGAGTTAGGGATAGGAAGGAAATTCCCAGGTGAAAACACACCCACCCGGGCATCGCGATGCGGAGGAGGCCCGTCGTCTGAAGAGGCGAGACGGGTCCAGCAGAGGCTTCTTTAAGCGCTTCCTAGTTCTGCAGCTTCTCAGTGACAAATCTGGGGAGGGGACTACAGCGCAAGGGGGAAAAAGAGGCTGCTTCTTCTTTTTTTTTACAAAGTGGGGGAGGGCCCGTCGAGAGGAGGGAGCGTGGCGCCGATCCAAGGTGATTTCCCGTAAACCACATGTTCCGGAGGGAGCCCTTTATAAGGCCGACGAGTCAGGCAGGCGGCACTGAGCGGACGGAGGCAGCATTTCCTGGGCTTCGCGCGAACTGAAAGCACACAGTCCCAGCCCCCTTCGCCGGCCGCTGCTGCAAACGGGATTAGCCTGCAAGAGGGAAAGAAGGCGCGCCCGCCGACGCTGCTTTCTCGCCAACCCGGATCTTAAGGCGGCGGATTGGGGCGTTTTCGGAGCGGGCTGCGTGCAGGGCCAAGGTAAGGAGGGAGCCAGGCACCCCGTTCGCGGAAAAGCGGAGCCCGTCCGGAGGGGACTGCCTGTGTCTCTTCTCTCTCCCCTCCCACAAAAATATATTCGAGTTTATAAGACTAGCAAGATAGGCAGCAGCCGAAGTAAGAGGGTCTGGAGTTGCCAAGGGCGCAGATCTCCCCCCCCCCCAATTGCGTTTGGGAGACGGGGGTGGCGGGCGTGCTTCCTCGCGAGTAAGTCCGTGGCTGCCCTTTCAGCCGCGCAGCCTGCTCCTCCGAGATGTGTGGCATGTTTACGCGGCGCTTTACTCCGTAGCAAACACGAGGAGGGCCGCAGGGCTTGGCGCAAACTTTGCAGCCAGGTATTCTGCTTTGGCTGCTAACGCGCAAAGCGCTACTGCTGATCCGTGTGTGTGAGAAACTTTTCCCATCCAAGTGTCCCGGTTTGTGCATAGGGCATAGGAGCCAATTTCTCGGGGTCGAGGGGTCCCCCCGCCCCCACCACAAGTTGATGGGCATTGCCATTCAAATTGTATGGGTGAGCCCCGTCATGTGATCGATCATGCAGGGTGGAGCTTACCTGCCCCCCCCCATTCAAGTTGGCACCCTTGGCATTGCTTTGCGCCCACCCGCTGCCTGGATCCAAGTACTGAGGCTTCCCTTTCCCTGCGTTATGCGCCGCTTGCTCTCCGCCTCCCCACCTCCCTTTCACGCCCTCCTGTCATTCTGCGCTGCCGACGCTGCAAGCTGGTTATAAATCTCAGGCTTCGGAGGCGGGCGAGGTGGAGGTCTGACCCTGCCGCGCAACTCGGGCGCGTGTTCTCTCGGAAGTAAGGCCCGCGGCGTTTTGGATGCTTTAGTTGAGATTCCTGCGTTGCGGGGGGTTGGCCTAGATGACCCCAGGGTCCCTTCCAGCTCCACGATGCTATGGTTCTACTCCCCGAGCAAGCACAGGGCTAAATAGCCTTGAGTAGTTACAGTGCAATCCTACCCATGCCTACTCGGAAGTAAGCCGCAGTGGATTCAATGGAGCTTACTATCCGGTAAGTGCGGTTGGGATTGCAGCCTCAGTTGCCTCTGGCATGATATTTCAACTTGCCGCACTGTCAATACTTCAGGTTGTTGTATCAGTGCCATCTGCCACGAGACATTAACAGTGCAAATATTGGCTGGAGTGGAGCTGCCCACATGATCCTTGTGGATTACTGTCCTCCGGTAACAAGTGTGCTGGCTTTGCAGCTCCGCCTTTCTATGCTCTAGCTGCAGAAGAAGCTTTATGATGCTCATATGAGGGTGCTCACTCAGAGGAGGTCTGGGTGTGAAGCTGGGCTCGGCCTCCTGCAACACAGAAACACCAGGGGTGCCCTCTAAGCATACGCAGATTGTTATCCCTTGCTGCAGATTAATAGCTGTGCATCTCCACTTCTTTGGAGTGAGAGGATGGGGCATCCGGCTCAGAGGGTGGGACTCCTAGGAAGACTTGGCTTCCAGTATCTCCCAATGCAATTAAATGCTCCCTCTTGGCTTTTAGGCTGAACAAGCAGGGACAGCCCTAGCGCTGGGCAGAGTGAGGCGACTGGCAGCAGATGCTGAGTTGCACTGAAGTGTTTGAGGGCAGAGCTGTGTGTGTCATACACGCAGCCTCCTCTGTGCCCTTGGATGCAATTGAGGTTAAGATCCTGTTCCTAGTGATGAAGAAGGTTCAGCTGTCATTCTGGTCAGCATCTGTATGCAGAGTGCATGTGTGAGTTTGGGGAGCAGAATATTGTCCTCCTTCCCTGATAGCAACATGTCTTGATTCTGAGCTAGATGAGGATTACAGTCTTTCGTTTTACACTGAAATACTGGGCAAAGTCCTAATGTGCTCTGCATGCACTCACCTGCTGAAGGGATAGAAACTTTAATCTCCAGAGCTTTCTGTGACTGGGCAAGGTTAAAGAAACAAAGCATGACTCCGAAGCCTCTTCCAAACCTTATGTGTGATGTTTTTATTATTCCCTCCTCCCCTCCTTTTATGTTTCCTGTTTTCTGTGCCCAGTGACTGGACCGGCAGCTAGGTGCATTTGAGGGACTTTCCCAGGACTCAGTGTAATGCTTTCTTGCTAATGGATGTCATGGCATAGAATGAGGCTCATGTGAGCTTGGGAGCAAAGTGTCTTTTTTAAACTGCGGAATGGAAGATGCCAAGGAAAACGGTGGGTGGACATGCAAGGACATGTCAAGGGGAGACTCTGCGCTTGAGTAGGAAGGAAGGAGGAATGAAATGCCTGGGCCAGCATTTCCTACCCCTGTGCCTTCCAGTTGGCTGGGGCTGATGGGAGCTGCATTCCAAAACATCTGTAGTCCAATACATCTGGAGGACATTGAGTTGGGGAAGGCTGGCCTGGGCTAGGTGGAAGAAGAGCATGAGAGCAGACTAGGCAGAAGGTGGGTTTAGTGTCTCGCTAGGGTGGCACCAGAGGCTTCACAGCTGTTGCTGGAACACAAAATACAATTGCTTGAGAAGAGACAGGGAGGCAGATGTAGGGGGGGGAAACCCCATCTGCTAGTCTCTTATATCACACACACCCTGACTGTGTGTGTGTGTTGCACCCAAATTAGGCTGGACAACTGGTTTTGTTCTGTGCTGGATACAATCCACAGTATTAAAAGTTCTACTTGGAGTACACCTGTTTAATGGACCTTTGTTAGTCATGTCCATTAATTTTTGTGGGTTTGTAGTTCTGCATAGAACAAACAATGGTTGCAACCCTTTTTGGTTATGGAGATCTTGTTTTTCCCCTGGAAGTTATTTGCGAGTAACTCTCCTTGCAACAGAACCACAAGGAAGCTGGAGAGGGTTACAAACTAGCCCCTCCTGCCTGCCATAGGATACCCACCACATTGTCCTAGGCAAAGCCTTCCCGAGGAGGGAATTCCAGAGACTGGTTGTCTCTGCCTTGCCACAGACAATGAGCAGGACCTCGGAGGCCAGTATCAACATCACGTGGGCGAAGGCAGTTAGCACTCTGGTTAGCAGACTGCTGAGTATCATCCAAGTGCCCAGCTGTCCAAGGGAGCTCCTGGAGATGAGCTGCCAGAACGCTTTGGCGGGGAGAGAAGTAGCGAAACAGTGACAAAGTTCCATCTATGGCAGTGGCCAGTGCTGGCTGCTTTGGGGGAAGAAAACATGTGACGCTTACATAAAATGACCTCAAGGAGGTTGGTGGATGCTTGAACCCAAGTTAGACTACAGCCCTCCACCCTAGTTTTGCTATTTAGTTTTGCCCTCTGTCTGAAACAGTTGCACAGCCTGTTAACGTGAGCAGAAGTGTCTCTTGGCACTGAGCTCCAGAACTGAAATGCATTATGGAAGGAAGTAGAGATAAATGCTTCTTTAAAAAGAAAAGGAAAATGCCTTCATGATCTGATGGAATGGCCAAAGATGTGAAGGGGAAATTCCAGGTGGGAAGGCTTAAGGGTGACAAATGAGACTTGGTCGCTTCCAGTGGCACCTGGGCAATTTCTGGCCGTATGACCCTTGCTTAGGAAAATGGAAATTGGTGCTGTGGAAGAAAAGAGGATTGGGACAGAGACAGCAATGAAGGGAGGATAAAATAATTTGGAAGAGGAAAGGAAGGCTGATTAATCGTGAGAGAATTTGAGCAATAAAATCTCAACGTATTGCGGAGAAGCAAGAGCTGTTTTTGTTTCCTTCTTGGGGGGGAAAGCCAGTGCTGTCACAGACCGGCAAAGGCATATTTATCTGAATGTGCAGAATCCAGCTGAGGCCTAAGAACTGGGAAATTCCCAGCTTGGCTACAGCTGACCTCTCCTTCTCCTAATAAGAAAGAGGAAAAGGCGGTGGGGTGTGGGGAGGAATGGGAAAGGAATGCTTGCAGGCCAGATTTAACTCTTCCAAAGCTGCTGGGAAGGGTCCTCTTTCTGTTTTAATTCTTACACATAACGGGAGCATCCGTGGAGAAATAGGACACCTCTGTGGTGCAGACTCCATACATAAATAGATGCCCAAGTGTAGCGCTTTCTGCAGGTCACCATGGGTGGCAGAAGGAAACGGTTATCTTTGGAGGCATGCCCAAAGTGTGGAATTGTAATGTATTTATTTATTTTATATAATGGCAGAGTCCCAGCACCAAAAAGCCTAGTGGGAAAGCGTGAAGCATATGGGTCTCAGAAGGAAGTAACGAGATGATAGTTAAAACCTCATCTCTCTTCATTTAAAAAATGTGAAGTGCAGTCATAGCTATAAAGTCTCCATCCAGAAGATGTTAATAATTCCTATACATAGCAATTAACTCAAATCCCCTATAGTAAGATATCCTGGCTAGGTATTGGCAGTGGGGGGGGGGGCAAGAGTGAGAGGACAGAGTTGGGGGAAGCAACTGATTTTCCAGCACTTGTGGCTTGGAAGGATAATGTGCGGCAGACCACACTGCAGGAGAGAAAGCACTGGATGCTCTTGTAAAAAGAGTTAAGTAAATTCTACAACACTGTATTATATCTAAAAATAGCAAAATAGGCAGTTCCCTGGGCTAGCCAGACATACATGCTTTGGGATGCGTTTTTGCAGTGTAGTGTGGATTTATGTTGAGCAGAAACAGAATTTGAATGAGAGAGGAGAAAGCAGATAGTGTTTTCTTTCCCTTCTCATAATGCTAGAACAAAGGCCACCCAACAAATCTGAATGTCGGTAGAATCATAGAATTGTAGAGTTGGGTGGAATCCTGAGGATCATCTAGTCCAACCCCCAGCAATGCAGGAATATGCAGCTGCCCCGTATGGGGATCAAATTTCCAACCTTGGCATTATCAGCACCATGCTGAGCTATCTAGGTTGTCAGGAACCCTATGGCACTTAGTGTTCCCAGGTGGTCTCCCATCCAAGTACTAACCAGGCCTGACCCTGCTTAGCTTCCAAGATCAGATGAGATCAGGCAAGTAGATTCATGACAGAGAAAACTGCTTCGTCCCTTAGTGCATATGTTAAATCATGGGATTTTCTCCTGCAAGATGCAGTGGTGGCTGTCAATCTGGATGGTTTAAAAAGGGTTCGGACAAATTCATGGGATATGAGATTGGCTCCTAAGCATGGTTGCTCTGTTCTGCCTCCAGTATTGGAATTGGTAAGCCTCTGAATACAGTTTGCTGGGGAGCAACCATGGGGAGAAAGGGGTTGCACTCGGATCCTAGTTCTGGGCTTCCTATAGGCATCTGGTTGGTCAATGTGTGTGGTGGGAGGATGTTGGACTAGATGAGCCTTGGGTCTCATCCAGCAGGGCTCTTCATATTTTCTTAGGTTTATGTTTATGTCCACAAGGCTAGAGGGTGCATGAAAGTGCAGGCTTCCCCCATGTTTAATCCTGACTCTGTCTCATTTGTTGCACAGAAAAAGATGATCTCCCCCATTGCAGCGGCCTTTCTTCTCCTTGTGGCCTTCGCTATCCATGGAACAGAGCAGAAGAACAGAGGTTGCAGCCGCTTAATCCATGATGTTCACCTGAATCGCCTGCTGGACCTGGTGAGTTTCTTTGCAATTAGTACAGCAAAGGTGGCAGGAAAGAATGGATCAGAAGATGAATCACCTGGATCTTACGCTGGGCAGAGGCACCTCTCCAGACAAGCCACAAACCATAGCCAAGGTTTGTTCTTGGCCTACCACTTGTGGTTTGTCTGGGGGGAGACAAACTACGAGCCTGGGTTCAGGCCCAAAACATGGTGATGGCATAAAGTTACCAGTTCCTTTGGTCAACAGAAGGCAGTGCCCCTGCTGTTTGTTAGTTCAGTTTGAGTCGGGATGCTGGATGATCTTGTTCAGTTTGCCTTTTTAAGCAAATGCATGAAAACTACTAAAAATCAACAGGAAATATATTAATCCATCCGTGCCTAGAACTGTTTGTTTCTCTGTTCACAAGCTGTTCTTGCCCTGAGGGCAGAAGTTGAGAAGGGGGAAGGTAGAAAATGAAAGTAGAGAAGACATAGTGGAAGGAAGTTGAATGATTGCTTTTAATTGAGATAAATAGGGGATAAATGGAGCCAATATTGTGAGGAGGGAGTGTTAACACTGAGCATGCTACTAAGGAGGAGGTTCACCTGGATGCAGCCTGGACTGTGCTTGATTCTGCAGGCTAAAGAGCTTTTAGTGCAGCTGTGTGTGTGCGTGTGCACTCTCTCACACCCATTTCAGCGCTTCCCCGATGAAGACTTTTAGTAGCTAAAAAGGGAGGTGCGGCATGGGGACCACTCCACAGATGCTTAGGAGGGTAATAAAGCATAACTCCAGCAGGAAGTGCTAATGCAATTATAGAATGCTAGAGTTGGAATGCACCATTCTAGTCATGGGGAGAGCAGGTTGGGGTGATTCAGAACCACAACATTCTGGGAACAAGTGCCTGGAATTTTCCTGACTCTTGATCCTGCCTGGATCACTTGGGAACTGCTGGGAGGTCTCTGCCAGTGGTTAACTGTCAAAGGTCCTAGCTTTGATCTTGCCTACAAGGAATTCTGTGGGCTTCAATCAAGATTCTTTTCCACTGTCAGTCACAAGTGATTGTGGCAGCAAAGCATGATAGTTAGTTAGGAGAACTAGAAGCAACCAGGAAAAGAAAGTTTCACAGGACCAACTCAAGGGCTTAATCATTGGGAGAATGTGGCTCTCTGTGGCATCCTGGTTAGGGATTGATAACTTGAGAAAAGTCTGTGAAGGTTCTGGCAATTATGGGAATGGGACCTGCTGGCAGTTTACTTCCTGCAGAAGTTTAGGAAGACCTCAGATCCTCCATCCCCTTATCAAAATAACCTCATAAGCCTTGCTGCCCACCAAGGTGCTGTGTGGTATCTGATAATTGGTGTAACTATATTGAGAGAAGGCTGGAGTGGCTTGGGATCAAAGCTTACAGTTCTTGTACCTGCAGCATTATGCAGAACCCTTGGTTGGACCCTCTTCCATTTTCTAGGTTTGCATAACAGCTTGCTCATTCTGTAGCCCAGACATGCATTAGGCACTAAGATAATAGTCTTGGTTCCAAAGATGCTGATCAAGAGCATCTCCCTCTTTCCACAAGACTGCATAGGGTGACACAAAAGCCTGAGGTGGTCCTCCAAAAAGTGCCTCACTCTGAAGTCTTTCACCTGCCACAATTTCTTGATTTGTGCTCAAAAATAGGTTTGCCACCTTGACATCCATGTAGCTAAAGAAGTGCAACCCTTGAACTGCTTCATGTTTAGTAAGACATTAGTCAGCTACCTTAAAAACCTTTTCTTGTGTTTATGGAGAAATTCATAAATTAAATGGCGAGATAAAATTAAATGCTTACATGCTGTCCCCATCCTTTTGCCTTTGGGAGATGCCCACTGGTGGAGGAAGAGGAGTGCCGGGGGAGCGCACCGCCCCTGGCAGTGTGATCCCCCGGGCTGGGTGCCACGCCCCTGCGGGCGGCGTGACCTGTCCCCAGGACGCGTGCCCCACCCCTGCGGGTGGCGCACCATGCCCTCGGGATGCGCACCAGCCCCACCACCGCCTGCTCTCCGCCCCCCGGTGCCGTAGCATGAAGCTCCGTCACTGGAGATGCCTTCTGCAAAGCTTGTTGCTATGAGTTGCTAGTACATGCAGGTCCCACTACTACACAAACACTTGTTACAGAAAATTCACTTATTCAAACATGAGGAATCAGTATCCAAACCTTGCTATACATGACGCAGATTCAGATGCCCCAACATCTGGACCTGTGTGAAGTACTGTAAACAAATAAGCAGCAGCAGCAGTAGTAGTAGTAATAATAATAATAATTAATAATCCCATCTGACTTCATTGCCCCAGCCACTCTGGGCAGCTTCTAACAGATTAAAACATTAAACACAGTAAAACATCAAACATCATAACTTCTTGTGCAAGGCTGCCTTCAGATGTCTTCTGAAATTCAGATAGTTGTTTGTTTTCCTGACATCTGACAGGAGGGCGTTCCACAGGGCAAGCATGACTACCGAGAAGGCCCTCTGCCTGGTTCCCTGTAACCTCACGTCTTGTGATGGGGGAACAGCCAGAAGGTCCTCAGAGGTGAACCTCAGTATCTGGGCTGGGTGATGGGGGTGGAGACACTCCTTCTGGTATACAAGGCTGAAGCCATTTAAACAAGCCTTTAACTTTTTGTGTTTTGCCTGTCAGTGACAGCTGTTTTGCCAGAAACCATGATGGGAGGGAGGGAGAGATCAGACAATTAAGAGAGCATTTGGTTTCCTTCCTTGTCTGCCTTTTGCAAGGTTTCCCTGGGTTTTTTCATTTGGGTGTCGAAATTCTGTGGTTGGGAACACCTTAGAAATTCCTCCACAGGAGTTGGTGGAAATCTTCTGCTTGTTATGTAAATGCTCGCTTCTCAAACAAATTCCTGAGAATGCATTATGCTTGAATAGCAAGACCTGTACATATTGTCACTTTCCAGGATTCATCTCTCTCCCCTGGAAAGCTAATTTCTGGCTGTTTAGATGGGCACATTCTGTCTCTAGTACACAAGTTGAGGAATGCTAAAGCACCGTGCAGCGCACAGCTTGCCACTTAGCTGCTGAGGTATATCAAAGAGTAACTCTGCATTTCAAGTACATTCTTTAGGCTATAGCAAACCACTCTCTTGACATTTCCAAGCAGTGGAGGTGGTCGGCGCCATTGCAGAGTAATTAAGGGGTTTTTACTGCCATCTACAATGTGTAATAGTCAGGGTGTGAGGTTGAAACTGAGTTTTGGTGTGAGATTAGGGGTCTTAGAATCATACCACTCATTTCCCCTCTGAAGATGCCGGAGGAGAAAGCTCTAAAGCCTTAACATTACCTAAATTACTATGTAGAATCAAGGACACAACTGGTACTAATTATCGCTTGTTTGAGAGTGATAACACAGTGTCTGACTTGTACAAATAAACCTCTCTTCACAAAGTCTCTTCTGGGCTAAAAGTAATTTGATATAGTTGGTCAAAGCTAACATTTCATCACTGCTCCACGATTGAGATTCTTACTTAGCTGTAATTTGGGCTTGCAACCACCAACCATTAAATGATTTCCTCTTTTAAAAAAGAAGCTGAAAAAAGTAACTCGGGTTTTTGCAAAGCTGTTTTTACTTTTGGTGTACTTTGCTTATCTTAAAGGAGCAATAAACCTTAATTAGGAGACTAATGAATGAAGACCTAGATAATGAAAATAGTTTGTTCAGATTTAAGAAAATGCTCCGGAGAGAGCTCTCCTTTTAAAATGTGTGGTCTGGCTTGCAAAGTGCTGGAATTTTTTTTTTTTTTAAAGGTTCTGCTGCTGCCCCTTTAAGTTTCTGTGCAAGAAGCCAGGATGCAAATCAAAATGTTGTACTGCCTGCCAAGGATTAGGTTGTTTAGCTAGCTGTTGCTGTGCTGACCCCAGAGCTGTTCTTCTTGGTTCTATAGAATCCAAAATCCTGTGATCTCTTGGTCAAATGGAAACGGGATCACGTTTGTAAAACCAAAACTGAAAGTGAGATGCTCCTACTGCTGCATATGCTTCCCTCGTCTTTTAGGGCAGTGAACCTAAACTTTGCCCCTTCCCCCGCCCTCGTTGTGCTTGCTTCTGCCTGGGCTTCTCTGTGATGAATAAATGTTGCTGGCGGCTGCTCTCTCCAAATAATGAAGCAATTGTTTGCAGTTCGACATGCCCTCCTGGCAGTCCCATCTCGTGTTGGCCTGCCGCAGAAGCTCCAAATCATTCCCTGGCGTTTTTCCCTGCCGGCACTAGGCTGAGATCGCTGGAGAAGGTGTTCTAAAGTGCTGAGTCAGCACTTGACTTGGAAGGCACAGGGTGGTAGATGCTTGACTTCTGCCTCTGGGCAAAGAGAGCCAGCTGTTTGCTTTGGTAAGGATTTGCAAAGCTCAGAGCTGGTTCAATGGCCACAACATGGTTCTTGCTGGTTCGTAGCATGGAGCTTGGTGCCCCTGGTGCACTGACACCGGTCAGGGCAGAATATGCTTGTGCGCATGCTTCCACTACTGCTCTAATGTGCAGTGTGTGTTTTCTAACAAATTGCAGTTCAGAAAATAGCAGGGTGCACATTGCAGGTGTCCTCTGTGATCTAAACTATATGTGCTCTTCTGAGTGGATGTGATGGGGGAGCCCCCACTGCCTCAGCTGCTTAGTCAGCTGAGATGCAGCAAATTTACCCAGAAACCTTTGGGGAGGGTTTGTTTGTTTTTAAAGAAGCTTGGATGTATTTGCAGAATCTTAGCTGGCCAAGTAGCCAAGGCGGTAGATTCCCAGCAAAGTGACGCAGCTGGCTGACAGAGTTGGCACTTGGATTATCAGTCCTGCAAAACCATAAAAAGAAGAGAGTTCTTAGATACTCAAGCACTCATTTCTAAATCTTGTCATACTATCACTACTTGGCTGCCCCTAACCCTAATCTCTGTGACTGCATTTGATATTTTCATTTACATACATTCATTTGAAATAAGATGGGTTTATGAAGCAATTCTATATCCTCCCACCAGGCTGATGAAGAATTCTACGAAACAGTAGTCAATATCCGGAATCACTGTTCAGTGTTGGACATCATATTTGCTGAATACACAAAGCTTCACAGCTTGTCTTTCATCGTACGAAGTCTGATACCTCATTTCATTTAAAGATTTTAAGAGACTTTGAGACTAAAGATTTCATTTTGTACTTGTTATGGTTTGAAGGAATTCTGTAAAGATTGTCTATTGCGTATGTACATGATCATCGTGTTGCCTAGACATTGCTGACGTTCTCTTTGCAACACAGGGGTTTGTTTTGTCAATAAAATATTCCTAGCAGTGTAGGCTGGTGGGGATATTCTTTCCTGTATTCTGGATTCCTTGATGAAGGAAACTAAACTAAAAGCCCACTACAGTTGCTTTGACTTGACTGTGCCTTTTTGTTACAGGTTGATAGTCAGATGATGAAGCCCTCTTGTGAGCTGTCCTTTGAGTATGTGGATGAGAGAGAGCTGGTAAGTTGGAATTGTGAGACACACATCTGCTGTGCTGCTGACACCCCTGTAGGACTTGGTGTGTGTTACCAAGGAATGCCTCGTGTTTAGACAAAGGGGGGGGGCATTTTTCATCCCTGTTGGGCAATGTTCTGAGGAAAAAGTGGGAATGGCCAGACATACATTACTCTCTATCTTCCATCAAGGTGGTTGCATTTTAAGGGCACATTCCAGCCAAGTAACACCCCTGGAGGAGGAGAACAGAGCAGGACATTGAGGGATTGTGAGCTGGGCTGGTTCCCCACCCCCAGTTGAGAACAGTGGCTTTGAACATCATACCTTCAGGGAATACCTTGCGCTATTGTGCTGTTTGTGTTTTTAATACTATACTATGATTTGAGCATTATGAGCCTGTGCAAGCCTTAGGCTTAGGTTCATGTGCTTTCCCCCCCACCTACACACACACCTCCCTCCTTCTTGCACAGTCACCAAGTACCTTGGAAGTTTTCATCTCTGGTTGCAAACCAACCACTTTTATGTTGAAACCCAGGGGAATTATGGTGTGGTGAAGATCCTGACTTATGATCGTGATCTTAAGAATCAAATGATGGCTTATGATCCTAGCTGGTTGTCTGTTCGTTGCTTAAACTAAGCAGACTTCCCCTGAGTTTGGATATAAATGAGGAACTTTGGTTTGGAATCAGGTGCTTCCAATCTCTTCCTTGTGGCCGTTCTAGGGGAGAAGGAACTGTGCAAACACAAGCACATGCACATCACACATAAAACTCTAAACCAGGAGTCGGCAAACTTTTTCAGCAGAGGGCTGGTCCACTGTCCCTCAGACCTTGTGGGGGGCCAGACTATATTTTTTGGGAGGGGAAATGAACTAATTCCTATGCCCCACAAATAACCCAGAGATGCATTTTACATAAAAGGGCACATTCTACTCATGTTAAAACACGCTGATTCCCGGACCATCCATGGGCCGGATTTACAAGGCAACTGGGCCAGATCTGGCCCCCGGGCCTTAGTTTGCCTACCCATGCTCTAAACCATACTTCAACTGTTGAACTGAGCCACTAGCTTAGCTGAGGAACCTCTGTGTATCTGCCAAATAATTCCATTTTGTTATAGATTATTCTGGGGCAGGCATAGGCAAACTCAGCCCTCCAGATGTTTTGGGACTACAATTCCCATCATCCTTGACCACTGGTCCTGTTAGCTAGGGATCATGGGAGTTGTAGTACCAAAACATCTGGAGGCCTGAGTTTGCCTGTGCCTGTTCTGGGGCATATCCTGGAACAGACACACTTTTCCTGTGGGATTCTGGCTGGGCTTGTTGAGATTTAAACACATGCCTGTGCTGTATTGGCACAGCTTGTTTGAGAGGAAGTTTGGTAATGGCAGAAGATGTGCTGCCTTTCCAGCAACTTGTCTCTCACTCCTGATCTTCTTACTGAAGCACCTTTGATGAAGCTTCTGAGAAACCCTCAGTTCACTTATTTAGAGAATGTGGGAGCTAAAATCCTGCATAGATGACCTTGTGGTTAAGTCAGCAGTCATGGATTTGGGAGACTTGGTCTTCCTGCCGATCCCAGCCCCTTATAAGATGTTGTACAAGTCTCTCAGTTTGTATCATGGGGTATTTCATCCTGAAGGACACTTGGAGAAATTTTTCTGCTGGCTTCAGGCTTTGGGGGAATTGTTTTAAAGCAGCCCTTGCTTGGGAGTTCATCAAAGCTGCTATTGCGCATTCTCTTGGCCTGTTCTTCTGGACCCAATCCAATTACTCAGAGGGAGAAGCCAGATCAAGAGAAGCTGCTCCTCTTTTTCACTCTAACCACCATTCACTTGTTTGGAGAGGGAAGGTGGAATCTGCAGCACCAACAAGGAGAAGTAGCAACTGGGGGCTGATGATGGTAGATGCCGTGCATTGCTGATCTTTGACACCAGCCATGAGTCTTTCTATGATGGACACCTGTCCCTGTTGCCTTCTAGGACGACCCCAAATGCTTTCTCAGAGCAGCATACTCTCCTCTAAGAAACATCCTTGAAAGTATTGAATTCAAGCAAAATACTCCGAACTCTGACACAATGAAGGAGGTAAAGGACTGGCACATAGAAGTTGGAGACTGCATGGAAATTAATAGCAGCGATGAAGAAGAGAGCAAGGTAACCTCTTACTTATCAGATTTGCAGTTCTCACGGATGCTAACAGATCTGTGGTGAGACTTAGGAGACTAAATGGCAGCTGAAACGTGCACTCTATGAAAGTGGGAAAGAAGCTGGGGACTGATAATACTTGTGTGACGTATGCACTTGCACTACTGGCTAGGGTGGGGAACCCTCTGGCCCTTCTGATGTTGCTGGACTACAGCTCCCATCATTCCTGGCAGTTGCCTATGCTGGCTGGAGCTGATGGTAGTTGGGAGTTCCACAACAACTGGAGGGCCACAGCTTCCTCATCCCTGAGCTAGAGTGCTCTTTTTGAAAACAGCAGTCTGTTAGGGCTGCTCTACACTTGATGCTACTCACTTCTTTAGCTCTGGGGTGCAGGACTCCATGAGTCAGATCATGACCATGATGTAGGGGACGGAGTTTTAATCCATGATGCCTCTATCCAAATTACTGAGCCAGTATGGTGCAGTGGGTGAAGTGTTGAAGTAGGACCTGGGAGACCAGAGTTCAAGTCTCCATTTGGGCATAAAGTTCACTGGGTGACTTTGGGCCAGTCACTGCCTCATAGCCTAACCTACCTTACAGCGCTATTGTGGGGATTAAAGGAGGGGAGAGAACCATGTACACAATCTTGAGATCCTTGGAGAAAAGGGGGGACATATAACAGCAGTTACAAAAATTAGGCAGCACCTATGCTGGTTATCTGCAGCTGGAGGAAAACTGTTGACAGTTCTAGCAGCATCACAAGTGATGCAAGTTCTTCTCTGCACTACTGGAACCTCTTAAAACTCTTATACTGCTGAGTGCTCTCCAAATGAGGTTCAGAATCCATCGCTGAGAATTCAGAGGTGCTGGAAGCCTGCTTCGTGTAGTCAGATAGCCTTTGCTGGGTCACAGTGACTGCCTCTTGCTGCACATGCTACCTCAGATATTTTTTATGGTGGCTGTTTGGTTCTGGTGGATTCAGATAGTGGCTCATTGATTCCCACCCCCCTACTTTCTCTTTTTGTCTCTTATAGCACTGCACCAGGCCATTCTCCCGGACTGCAAGGCAGATGCTGAAGCTGGTGCATGAGTACTTCAGCAAAGCTAAGGAAATCTTGTCCAAAGGAAATTTCAGCCATGATTGCAGCAGTGTCTTTGAGAAATGTTCCGACTCAAAAGGGAAGAGTACAACATCTCCAGGTAACAGAAAATTCTGGGGTTTTTTGCATCTCCTGGCAGCTGCTGGGGCAGCATTTGAGGAGCAGGAAGCTTCCAAGTTAACTTGGCTTTTCCCAAACTAGCGCTGTCCAGATGTTTGGGGCTACAGCTGCCATTAGTTAGCCCTAGCCATCTGGGGGAGTGTCAGTGCACTGGTGAAGGCTGAGGTAAATGGAACATTCCGGGTTGGGAGGGTATTCCAGAGCTGCTATTTGTGCGCATTTGTTTGTGTGCTTCTGTGTATTTACACTTGTTTGTGCGGTTACTAACTGCTAAAGCCTTAAGTCAACAGAAGTTTCATGTTTTTGAAATGAGCATTATCTCTTTGATCTGTGGCAAGGGCAAAACCGACTATGTTAAGAGTCTAGCAATCAATTCAAGGCCCTCTGCATGCTCATCAGGACACAGTAGGACTTTTAGCTTTCACCTCCCCCTCTCCCAGTAAAATATGTATTTCCCCCACATGGCTTAAGGGAAGATTCAAAATGTGTTGACAAAGGCTGTTCAAAGATCCCTTCTGAAGGGTTTCTTCTAACCTTGGAAGTTCTTTGCTCATGCAAAGTACCCTCTTGATGTACCCTGACCTTTACAAATAACAGTCTTGTCTGCTTGTGGTCAGACCATGAGGAAATCCCAGAAGTGGCTTGGCATACCATGTCTATATGTGACCTGCAGAAATGGGATCTTCTGCCAGGGCAGAGGTTTGGAGATGTCATGCTTGTGGTGGCCCTCAAAACAGATTGGCCAGGCAGGGAGGCACTGGGCTACACAGACAAAGTTGAGAAGACACTGCATTGCTGTTGATGTTCTTATACACATACATGCAACTCTCAGAAACAGCCTTAAGAAAAAGCCATCCTATTGTCTGTCTTTTAGAAGATGCTCACGTGGTCAGGCTTATTGCTTTGGCCTCAAGTGAACCACTTCCTAGCTTGGTTTGCCTGCTCATCTGGTCCAATAGGCACAATGATGCTGCCCATTCTCTGAGTGGTGCTTGGTTTTGCCGGTGTGGAGAATGCAGTCGCTGTCTTCCTCTTGAGTCCATATTCTATGTTCTGTCCCTATGTGCACATCACCTGCAATGCTGGGAAGAACAGCGAAGTAGGAGCACCATGCTTCCTCCCTTGATTCTTGCTTGATGAGCTGCTTCTTGCTTGACCAGCTTGCTCCCTCTGCTGTTCTGCTCATGGAGGCATGTGCAAAAGCTGTGGTTGCCCTTGCTTTGGCTTGCTAAACTAGCTGAATCTTGATCCGATGCCGTTCCTCCAGAGTTGGTTCTCTGGCCTCTTTGATATCCTGTGTGCTCTCAGGAATCTTGGGCTGCATGTGATGCTCTTGGGAGTTGCTGTTCCTAGCTGACCTTGCAGTGTCTTGTTCCATTCATTGGTCCCCTGGAAGCCTTGTGGCTGCCTTGCTGCCTTTGCTTCATTTACTTGTTTTGTTGCTTTTTTGGCACTGGTCTGCCCCGCCTTAGCATGGTGGTTTTTGAGGGAAGGGGCTGACCTCGGCTTGACGCATCCATTCTGTTCTTCTTGCTGGTTACTCTATGGCCATTCTCTTCTCTTTATCTGGATCTTTCAGGTGTGGTGACTGACCAGGACTGCCCGTGTCCAGCCACAAGCCCCATGAGTGGCAGAGGCTCAGCTTCTCTCCTTCCAACCTTTGAGCCCTCCTCTTCCATTGCAGACCAGCTGGACAGCAAAGAGGCAGCTGCCAGCACTCTCCAGCTCTTTATGCAGCCTGGCACCATGCAGACTCAAGGCGGGTCACAGGGTAGCACTAGGCCCAGGATGCCTAGGAGCACCCAAAGGGGCCAAGGAGCTCCAGCGCCCACGGATTTCGTAGCTAGCACTGAGGCTGTCATGTCCTCACTGCCAGAAGAACTACCGTTGGCAGCTGTATCCCAAGGACTTGACCCTCTGTCCACAAACATTGCATCCTTCCTGGACTCAGCCGTAACCCTTGATTCCTGGTCCCCCAGGCTCAAAAACATTTCTCCCCCTCCTTCTAGCCAAAAACGCATTGAACCTATGGGGACAGGGTCTCCTCTCCCTGGTTCTGGGGCTGGCAGCAGCCAGACATGGCCCCATGAATTCCCTTCCCATTCTTCCCCTTTCTCTGGCTCAACCAAACCCTACCTCAGAAAGCAGTGGCTTCAATCAACTGAAATGGATGTATCTGGTTGGGCTATGACTGACAAAAGCAGCACATCTGGCCTAACTTTGGCGTCTCTTGCCAGTTTGGACTCTGCAGAGAGCGCAGGGGTGCCCTCCAGTGGCAGTGGGGCAACCCTCTCGCCCAGTGACCCCACACTCTTCCCTGTCTCAGAGGATCCTGTCTCTGCTGCACAACAGCTTTCTAGATTGGTGGTGACCACAAACAGTCCATCATCTCACAGGCAGGTACCCCCAGAAAGCTACTCCTGGGGGGCGGAGGGTAGAGCCCCAGGAGTACCGCACAGCACCCAGCTCCGAGAGAGACGAGCGGAACAAGAAGAGGGCCCAGCCAAGGGCAGGGAGCCGGAGGATAGCATGCCAGGTCCCAGCCCTGATCTGAGCTTCATTCCTCCGAACACAGACAAGCACAGCGAGAAGCCAGAAGCCAGAAATACCCAAGGGATGGCTGTGACTTATGTGGTGGTACCCAGTGTCCTGGGAATCCTGTTGGCTGTGGGTGGCCTGCTCTTCTACTTCCATAAATCCAGGGTAAGGTCCAGACCTGACAAACTGTTCTCCTTTATTCTCTTTGGGTTGCAAATGTGGGGCATAGCGATACCTTGTGAATACATCAATGGAGAAGGCAGAAGTGGCTGAACTCAAAGTACACTCCCTCCTCTCAGGGTAGAACGTTATTGGATGTGAGCAAACATCCACCTGCATTTCTTTTATTGGGATGAGGAAAAGGATTAGCCAGCTAGGTCTTAAGGGGTATGCGTCTCCCTGTGCATACTTCCCACTGTCGCTGTGTGCTGCAACTGAATGTAATCTCAGACAATCCAAGCAGTCAAGCAATTCTACAGCCACAAGTTAGATATGTTTTTTATAGGGAAAACTTCTGTGGCTCTGCACCACAAAGTCTGGAAGAGTTCTTGGCAGTAAGAGCTTAGTGCTGGGGGTGAACGCTGCTGTCCTTGATGGGTGATGTTGAGCGGATGAGTTCTCCTTCCTGTGACATAGTTCTCTCATCTGTCTTAAGTAACAATGGTCACATTTTCCAGCCTAAATGGACTGAAAGTCTTCTGGGAGTTGAAAGTGATTCCTTTCCCAGTAGGAACCAAATGGATATGTAGCAGTGGACCATCAAGGCCCATTGTACTTCATCTTGCCAGTGGTGACTGACCACCTCTTCCGGTTCTGGACAGGGCTTAACCATTCCCACTTACACGCTTGATTCATGCCCACTGCTTAAGAAGTCCTATAGAAAACTGAGAGCATCTCTTGATTTGTGGAGCTGCCTTGCAGTCAGTGTATATGTTCAGAAGGTCGACTCTTATCGCTACTGTTAGGAGAGGGGGTGTAGTTGTTTCTTGCATGCTAAAATATTAGTTATGCTTTCAGGCAGGCAGTCCTAATAGCAGATTTATTTTAATGCTGCTTTATTGTTCACCATCTACAGTGAGATCCCTGTCTCATGTAACAACAGGGGGAACATGAGAGATATTTTTTTAGGTGTAGGAAGAGTGTGGTTGAGATGGTGTTCATGGAACTCTTATGGGGAAAAGTAGATTTAAAAGGCAAAGTGTTAAAAATGGTATGGGAAGACAGAGCAGGAACCTGGTGGCATATCTTCACTTGTGCCTGTGACACCAGTTCTATGGATGCTAATGGCATTGGCATAAATAATAAAAATAATTTTATTATTTGTACTCTGCCCATCTGACTAGGTTGCCCCAAGGAAATTCCAGTTATGCTTGGGTTTGGGGCTTGGGATGGGCCTTTACCAGCAACTGGTAAAGTTGGTTAGTGGGTGAACTGATGGCCTCCTAGCCCTCGAAACTACAATGAGAGTTTGCTGGGGCAACATGCCTGCTTGTCCTCCTAGGATAGGCATAGGCATAATCCAGCCCTCCAGGTATTTAGGACTACAATTCCCATCACCCCTAGCTAACACGACCAGTGGTTAGGGATGATGGGAATTGTAGTACCAAACACCTGGAGAGTTGGAGTTTGCCTATGCCTGTCCCAGGACAACCATAGCATCTCAAACTGCCCAGCCAGTTTGACAATACTAGCCATGCAACCTCACTCTTGCTTCATATCAACATTCCTTATAGTAGTAAATATTTCCTTTCTTCCACGCAGATGCTAGCCAGGAGGCGACTGCAGAGAAATGAGAGAAACCTGGAAAGACAAGAAGGAAGGTAAGAAGGCAGAAGGTTTGCATAACTCAGATGTATAACTAGGGTGAAATAGGCCCCTTGCTCTCAGATAGCTAATTCCTTGAGATTCCATCAGCCTTGGGAGGTTGCAGTGAGTTGTAGAGCCCATGTCTGAAAACTTAGCCTGTTCCCCACAAAATGCAGTTATTGGGTACACCGACTATTGTTGAGAGGAAAAGATACCAGATGGATTTCTACCATACAGAGGGAGATGTAGTCTCGTGATGTATCAGTTCTTGCTTTTAGTCTTCAGTGTTGGGCTTCTAATCCTTTTTTTTTCTCCTTTCCCCCCAGGCCACTGAATAGAAGGGAGGGAGATCTGGAATCGCAGATACAGGAGGAGGAACTATGAGGTAAGAACAGGTTTTGATCTGATTCAGTAGGGCTACCCACTCCCTCATTCTGTATCTGCAGCAGCCAGCCAGACTTCTAGCCATCTTGACTAGTAGCCACTGATAGCTTTATCCTCTGTGAATTTGTCTTAATCCCCTTCTAAGTTGGTGGCCATTGCTACATCTTCTGGAAGCGAATTCCGTAGCTGTAACTGCACTGCGTGAAGAATTCCTTTCATTCTGCCTACCTTGAATCTCCCACCACGCAGCTTCACTGGATGATCTCAGATTCTAGTACTGTGAGAGAAGCTCCCTGTCCACTCTGGCCCTCTTTTCCCAAAGAAGGTCTATTTGCAGGGGTTGTGTGTTCGTGGATGGAGCTGAGGCAGATCCTTATGCCACAAACAAATCTGGATGGGCGTGGGGGAAATGGGACCTTTAGACTCAGAGGCAGCATCCCTCTGATTCCCAGCTACTGGGGACAGACTGAGAGCAAGGTTATTACCTTTTTGCCTGGCATGTGGTGCCTTGGCAGATGTGTCTGGCTGGCAACTGCTGGAAACGGGATGTTGGAGTAGACGGGCCTCTGATCTGGTTTCCCATGGCTCCTGTGCTTTTTGTGTGTGGGCTCAGAAATTGGTTTATTGACCAGCCGAGTGCCGTTGGGCACATGCAACCTACCACCTCCTTTCTGCGTAGGGACATGTTTCCCGCAAATGTGTCTTAAGTGCAGTGGAATGTGACTTTGTCCTTGGGGGCAGCCGCAGATAAGGATCTATGCAATTTGTGGTGCATTCTTGGTTTGGGGGTGGGGACTGAGGAATGGCTTAGAGAACTACCACTTGCTTGCAGGCCTTTGTTGCTGCTACGTTAGTCACCCTGTGTAAAGAGCAGAAGTGGCCCTCTAGGGACCAGTGTTCAAACCCCACATCGGTTACTCTCGTGACTTTTGTTGTTGCATCTGAGATCTACGGATGAAGGGAAGGAAATACAAATTTAATAAATAAATAAATGGTCAGATCCTCTCCCCTTTCCAGAAGAAAGTTCTGGGGGGAAAAACTATACCTTTATTAGGTCAACATACTTTGGTTGACCTAATAAAGGTATAGCTCTAATATGGATTTTGGAATACATTTCCCTGAAGTTCTGTGATTTGCTTCCAATGGCTTCATTTAGATCAGCCCCACATGACACTAGGCTCAGCTCAGGGTTTTGGGGGGGGAGGTATAACTGCTCAACTTTCTCCTCTTCTGTTTAAAAGTGCACTCCTAAAATTGCCTTCCCACTGGGGGGAAGGTAAGAAAATTTCATACCTGTCAAGAGGCAAAATAAGAAAAATCCTATGAGTTAGTCCTCCATTTCATAGAAACACTGAGTCAGCTCTATAAGCAAGCAAAATCTGGCTAGTAAACTAGCTTAGTTTTGAAATGTGTATTTGGCAATATTGCTTTCAAAAATCGGACTCTATTTAAAAAAAACACAAAAATTTTGGTAGTCTGTCTTAGTGCTTTGATCCTTCCTATGGTGTTACCGTTGTTGTGATTGTCGGCTGAGAATGGATTTTTAATATTATTGTTGCATTTTTGTTGTTGTTATATTGTAAATATGAACTGTGTTCTGTTCATAAATTGCTTTAATTTTCCCTGAAAAGAAAATTATTAAAATGGAAATCTGCCTTGGCCGAGTCCTGCAAAGTGGCTTGGCCTATGCTTGAGCCACACATGCCCCCTTTGTGGTTAGACATTGTGTCATTGTAATGTTTGTCTCCTTCTTTCCAGCTGGACCCCTTTCCCTCTGGGATGACAAGCCACGTGGGGACTGGGCAGTAAGCCCCTCTTTTTTAAAAGGACAGCCCTCTCGTTACTACTGGGAGAAATTAACACAAACTGGACTCTGGGAACTGAAGCAATTGCAGTCCCTTCTCACGAAGAGTGTTTTCTCTTCCCAGACATGTTTTAATTTTTTTGCGACGGAAAGGGATTCATCGGGAAATGGACGCTATATTTATTCCTGGCATTCAAGGTTGGCTTTCACACTTAACTCCAAGCTGCCCTCTTTCTGCCAGTCAGACAACAAGCTGGAACTTGGTGGGAAGGATGGAAACTGTTTGGAAGCTGACTTTGGACTTCAAAAGGCCTCTTCTGATGGTGAGAGAGGGAGTTTCTAAGAACCACTGTGCCCTACTGCCTTCCAGAGTGGAAAGGGTGACATCCTCTCCAGAGATGGATGTTGAGTCTGCCGTTTGAACAGCTATATATCTGGAAAAGAAGACTCTCTTCCAGGGCTTCCAGCTTCTTTGGAGAAGACTTAGGATCTTGGGCCTTATATCTATATATTTTCCTAGACATAACTCCCCATAGATATGAATAATGGCAAGTTGTGGTTCTGTAGAGAGAATGGGCACTCTCTCCCCACCTGCCTTTAAGCCATGTGTATAATGTAGCCCAAGGAAGGACACCCATTTTCCCTCCTCCCCTGCAAAACATCCTCCATTTTTAACTCCCCAAATAGCCTAATGCATTAATCTGAGAGTTTGCTATCCCAGTGGCCTTCTATGTCTTCACTCCAGGGACCCCCTTTTATTAATCCCAACCTACAAAATGGGACCCGCTTTTAACTTTTTTAACTTTTTACCAGGACTAGCAGGGGTCATTTAATAAAATTTGATTTTAGTTGCACTTTAGGGCAGACTAGTTAAGGAATACAGCACAGTCTTATGATGAGGTCTCCTAGCTTAAGACGGCTTTTTAAAAAATGGGGTTAGATAAATGTAGCACTAAGCAACTGTCCCATCGGTGGAAAGATTTCTGCTTGTGCAATGGCACCCCCCAAAAAAATTCTGTTTTGGGGATCTCCCAACTCTCCAGTGCAGAATAAGGGAGAGAAGGGTGGGTAGTTAGTTGCACAAATAGAAATCCTTGTTCTGTTGGGATTCTGCCCCATCTCTGTTCTAGCAGGGCTTTATGAATGGATCTCTCTGTCTTTATCAGATAAGCAGAGCCCTGCTGGATCAGACCCGAGTAGCCAACCCACGGGAAGCTGGCAAGTGGGCTGTGAGCAGAATAGTCCTTTCCTGCTGCTCCCCAGCATCTGGCATAGTGCCTCTGATACTGGGGGTGATACATAACCACAACCTTTACCTGCCTGGGAAAAGTGATGTGTTTATATCACTGATGCAACCCATCAACTGAAATCCAGTGTGTTACACACTCTAGTAATATTGTGAGAAAATGTAGAATATAGCACCACTCCCAGTTCCCCATATCCTACCTGCATTGTGTCTTGACCCAGAGAGGAAGTGATGCCTTGTAAGCCAGGACATGAGCAGATCTGGCACTGAAGTGGTTGCAGCTGTAACTATATCCATAGGAGAGATGCAGCCTCTTCCAGCTGTGTTTAGATTATCCACTTCCCAGAGCCTGCCGAACAATGCAGGGCACTGCAGGGAAGTTCAGCAGTACAGAAGTTAAATATATTGGCCCTGTTCAGTTACCTGCCTCTCCACTAAGGTGAGCTTGGCCCTTGGAACTGCCAAAGCTATGCCATTTTACAGAGATTGATTCTCCCCCCCCCCCCCCGCACCCTTGATCTCTTGTATCAATGGAAGGAAAGTGTTAAGACCCACCCCTCTCATCTTCCACAAATTAATTTAGGAAACTTGGGGGCTTGTGTTCCCATGCCTACATTTTCCAAGTTAAAGCAGAATGGTGGGGGAAACTTGCAGGGAAACATTGGAAAGTTGGGGTGTACATAACAACAACATAAACTTGCTGTTTCTCCTCCAGATGCCCCTGCAAGCTCTCTTCCTCCCAGCTGGGTTTACTTAGAATTTGAGAAGATGGGTGGCGGGCAAGGGTTAAATTGTTGTTGTTGTTGTTTTAATGGTGTGAAGGCATTTTCAGGGGAGAATCTACTGGGGGCTACCTGCCATTCCCCTGCAGTGCTACAGCCTCAATTTAGGTTGCCAAACGTATCATGGGTTTGAGGACCACCCTGTGTTTATTGTGTATTTCTGCTCTGAAGCTTAATAATTGCCAACCCGGGAGCTGCTACTGGAGGCTTTCTCCAGAAGGACTCACACTTTCCTTGCTCCCCTGTGCATCTCTTTCCATGTTGTAGTGGAGAGCTGATGTGTAGAGGGCCAATGGGAGTTGCCGCAGCCCAGCTCTGAAGTGAAGCGAAGCTCTTGCACTTTGTATACTTAACATGTTTTGCCTCCCGTGTGCTGAGAACATTCCCACCCTGGATTGATTGAATGAGTGAGTGTCGATGAGTGAGTGCATCTGGTCCAGCCTCTTGCCATTCCATGCCTCTTCTCCATCCGTCCGCGCCACAACCAGCAGCCCTTATCTGCCTCACCTCTTGCCCTCCCTGCTTTCTCCATCTCTGCTTGTAGCTGCGACGCTGAGCTGGCCTCAGGGTAACGACACAGCCTTTCCCCATTTGTGCTTTAATGTAATGGATGAAATGTTGATAAACTGTTTGTATTGGAGGAAGGTGTGGGTGCAACTAGCCAGGCTCTGTAAGGGGCTGATTGTGCCATGTATGTTGCTCCACTGATGTGAGCAGGCCTCCATGTTTGCACCAAATGCTGGTGGCTCTCTTATTCAATGTGCCAGTGCATCATCTTATGCCTTATACTGTGTGTGTGTTTGTGTGCAGCACTCGGAGACCCTGAGGGCATATGGCCTGGTTGGTGTTCAGGGCTTGCACACACTAATTTTGATCTCGCTAATTCAATGATCACTGCAAAATTGGTAAAAGTTGCCTTATATTGTTTCTGCTTGCACTTGCATTGCAGCAAAGGGGCCTTCAGAGAAACATCATTTGCCTCCCCTTCTTTGCTCCTAGTTTAGCTGCAGTGCTCATGGGCAGCTTGCTCACACCTCAGAGGCAGACAAGTTCCCTCTCTGTTTTTGGCAGAGACCAAGCATTAGCTACTTTCATAGGTCAATGAGCCATGGCACAGGACTACCTTTTGACATGCATCAGATGAAGAACAGTCCCTGTTTGTTTTAGC